TAACCCTAAACCTAACCCTAAACCTAACCCTAACCCTAACCCTAAACCTTACCTTAAATCGCCCTTCTGTCGGCGCGCTATTGTCAGCGCGCTTTTGACATCGCGGTTTTAGCGCCGCGGTTTTGTCGGCGCGCTTTTGACGTTCGCGGTTTTGTCGGGTCACGCATTATAATTGTAGTACTACAGTTTATATTTTTAGCATTTAATAACAGCAAATTAAAAGACCTTAATGGAAGATCTGTGAAATGGGAGAAGCCCTCTTTCGCTTGTTTGACTCTAAATCCTAAAAGAATAATGATCCAATGTCTCAAAGGGGGTGGGGGAGAATATTTTTCTCAAACTGGCAGCCCTTCCCTTCTCATAGCGTACCCCAAAGATGTGGGTCATCCATGCAGGACTGATGGTTGCAGATAGTCAAGAGGGGGGTTCCTGGTTGGCGCTTCTCAATTAGCTCGTAAAGAACTTCTTCATTATGGATATTCAGCTTGTTTATATATCCTGAACAAAGGACAACAAGGCAGCAGAGTGAAAAGCAGCAACTGCAACACTTTAGGTAAAACACTCAAGTGGATTTCATTTAACAATCCCACTTATAGAGTTCCCAGGATCTAATTCAGATTGAAGCAGAGCAGAATCAGGAATTTAGACTTCTGAATGTTTTGGGTGTTCAGAGAATGTATACAGGTCTATCAAAGAGACCCAAGGTCATAAGCGAAAAATTATAAAAAACAGTCCAAAAGAAAGGAATAGAAATTATCTCTTCACCGTTGCCTCCAAAAAAACCTGAAAACAAATGTCCTGGAGTTGAACTTGATCTGAGGAGACACAAGTCAAGAATTTTGGTGGATCTTGTCCTCAGACAAAACTGGCCATTGGAAAAGGCAAGGTACATAAACTTATTGAATATGTTGATCCATATTCATCCATCCATGAGCTAGTATCCACCCTCTTGTTTCCCCCCCTGATCTACTAATCCAGGTATTGGGCGTCTTGCTAATCAATTAAGGAGCCGAGGTGGCGCAGTGGTTAAATGCAGCACTGCAGGCTACTTCAGCTGTCTGCAGTTCTGCAGTTCGGCTGTTCAAATCTCACCGG